AAACAATTTGAATTAACTTTTTAGAAGAAATATTCACAGTGCTTAAAATGAAAACTACTCTGGAGGTGAATGGGAGGATTTATATCTAAAAATGCCAGAAGGGAATTTTGCTTGTGAAATACCTTCAAAAATATAGATTTTTCTGACCAGCTCTGTATGAAAACTGCTCATGATTCTATTACATCTAAGCAAGAAGAATCAATCATATTATGAAACACAGAGGAATTCCTTTGATACCTCACACCATCAGAGTGCCTTTTATTCAAATGCGCTATGTGAAAGTCAGTCCTCAAAATCCTCCTGGAAACACAACAAATTGTATATTTCATTTTTATAATGAGTAAAAAAATACACAGGATGATGAAGGACATGTTTATACTTCTAATGGAATGCTGTGCACAGATTGGTGGGTTAGTGCTGACTCTAGGCCAGTAAGGCATATGCTGAAATGCAGAATGATGTCAGATCAGTAGCTCAGTCTAGAACTGCTTGTTGGCACAGGACTTCTGATAAGCTAATAAATATATACTACTTCCAAATTGCAACCACTTTCATGTGAGCTAGCTAAACTGTTTTGCCAGGGTATTTCAGTTCCAGGATTATTTTCCCAAAATCTGGACCTCCTCTAAATGACTTGTCTGAATGACAAAATGACAGAAGAGACTTGAAAATGTACTCCTGGCTGTCGATGTAACCATTGTGTAGCCCATTTATCCTTATTTAATTGTGCCACGGAAAAAGTTCAGAATGACATTATTTTCTAGAAGTGAAAAAAAGGGGAGAAAAAGACCATCTAATCTCCAGGTAGAGATTGTTAAGATTTTTGGTTCTGCTCCTAATTCTAGAGCAGTCTGTAGATAAGGTTTTTCAAAATCCTGGTACCCAAATTTTGAAACTTCAGCTCTGTTTCTTGGTACCTTGTATTAACTATATGAATGGGAAAGTGGCCATTTATTTTTTATTTTTTTTTCCCCATAATACAAAGGAGAGTCTGGATGAATTGGGAAGTACAACTTAATTGTGAACATAATTGCATTTTGCGCAGATAATTGCAATCATAAGTCAAGCAAGACAGCTTCTAACAGTTGGGTCAGATTTTTAATTTCATGATCTAAATTATTAATGAGAATATTTCCATAAGCTGTTTGCATACTAATTGACTTCATAACAGAGAGGTCAGCTGGTCTTGTCTTCTAGCCTTTATGATTATCAGTGGTAATCAGAAACTGTTTTCCTGTGAACATGTGCTTCTTTCATGCCTTCTGGCATAGATGCCAAATGTAGGTGATGAATTACTTATAAGCGTTATGATGCAAAAAATAATTTTGCAGGTTCTAGTTAGAAGAAAATTAAATTAGATTGTGCATTTAGGATTATGAAACATAAAGGGTTAAATAGGAATAGTTTTTGTTTTTTGGGGTTTTTTTGAGTGATTCAATACCTTGAGATTCTTGAAGGCCTTGTTGAGTCAATTATGGAAAGCCCAGGTGCAGACTACTTTTCACAGTGTGGCTGCAGTCAGACAAAATGGTGTGATGCATAAAGACAAGGAGATCACTGCAAGAATGCATAATGCTGTTGTATAAATCAGTGGTATTTCCCCATCTGATAGACAGCCATGTGTACCACTGATCCAGTGGTAATATAAGGGGACTTGAGGAAAATGGTGGGGGTGATTAGGACTATAAAGATTTTTATGTGAGGAGACTGAAAGGTTGAGATTACTTATGCAGAAGACAGATTGCAAACTTCTATAACCTGCCTCCTAAAGCAAGATTTAAGAGCATATCCAGTGCCATAAAATAAATTCAAAACAGATAAAAAAATATTTTTGTTTTTTACCTGAAACATGAAGGAATGACAGAATTAAAGGTCAGAAAGACTGAAATTTAAGATAATTCAGAAAGACATTTGACACCTTTCTCAATACGAATTTTAAATAGTAAACATGCTTTTTTTTAGAAAAGATAAATAATTTTAAAACTAAGACATGCTTGAGGCAAACAATGCATCATTGTTTGATGTATCTTGGCTGGCCAGATTTAGAAATATTGAGTAGGAATCAGGATATTGAACAAAACATACAATCATTTAAAGTCAGGATAACTGCTCTTACTATTGCAATCTGAGTTAATTTTTTATGATTTATCTCTGCCCCATTTGTCAAAGAAAAAGAACAAATGGCAGCTTTGTTTTCCCTTTCTCCCCCTGGAAAGCAGCTGTCATAATCCTCTTTCAGAGATTCAAAGGGGCAAGTGTTTTGAAACATCTTTCACTCACATTTCATGCTTATAGTATGAACAGCTCCAGAACTATGGCAAATCACAGAATCATCATGGTTGGAAAGGACCTCTGAGATCACCAAGTCCAACCATCAACACAAAAAAAACCCCTAACAAACATACACATTCCACTGGAAAACACCCAAAAAACCAAACCAAACCAAAACAGCCCAAACAAAACAACCCCTACAACCTCAGCCACTAGAGCATGGCCTGAAGTTCCTCATCTACATATTTCTTGAAGATCTCCAAGGATGGTGACTCCCCACCTCCCTGGGCAGCCAGTTCCACTGCCTGACCACTTCTTCAGTATAGAAATTCTTCCTAATGTCCAATCTAAACCTTCCCTGCTGCAGCTTCAGACTATTTCTCTGGTCTTGTCATTACTTACTTGGGAGAACAGGCCAATGCCCACCTCCTTACAACCTCCTTTCATGTAGCTGCAGAGGGCAATGAGGTCTCCCCTCAGCCTTCTCTTCTCCAAACTAAACATCCCCAGTTCCCTCAGATGCTTCTCATAGGACTTCTTCTCTAGACCCTTCACCAGCTTGGTGGCTCTTCCCTGGACATGCTCCAGCACCTCAATGTCCTTCCTGTAGTGAGGGACCCAGAACAAATATTCAGTACTTCTATTTCTGGCATTTCACTGCCTTTATCAATGCAACAGGGTATATTGTACAATTTCAGAATACTCAGCTGGAGATATTTACGGGATATATTTTATTCTAAAAACAGGGATCCCTTGAAAATTATTCTTCTTCCAAGTGTCTCAGTTTCCATATTGAGTCAACCATTGAAAGTCTTACCGTAATAATCCAAAGAGCAGAATACTTTAATAAGATGATTGCTTTAAAAATAAATAATCAAAAAGAAATCTTATTTTACTAAGATTTTCTTGTACTAGTCCAATTTATAGGAAAAAAAATAATGGAATGTTCCAAGGCCAAAATGCTACTGTTCTTGATTGGGGTGCTTGAACACTGAATCAGGATCTGAATTTTGCAAGTAATTTTTCTATCTACAGAGATTCAAAATCCTAAATCCCTTTTGTGTTAGCTGTCAAATTAGCAAGGTATGGCTGTGATTAGAACTGCTTGAAGACTGAATTTGTTCTAAGAACATGGTAGGAGACAATGTCACATATTTTGTAAAATCAAAGTAAACAGCATCCACTGGTCTTCATTCCCTAAACCAGTCCTCTATTCATGACTAGCTCTCAGGTGGCAGGGTTCAACCTTACCAAGTCCATATTTTCTATTCTATTCTCAGTCATTTCTTGCTTTTCATATCCAGGATGTTGTTTTTTGGACAATTTGGTCTGCAACCTTCCCAGGGACTGAGGATGATCCACCTTTATTTTCCTGCATCCTCCTTTTTGCTCTTGTTGGAGATGGATGTGATGGTTATCTTTTCTCAGGAGTCTTAGCCTTAATTCCACACAGGGTATTCTGTGTCATCATGTCTCACCTGACTTCCTCCTCTTGTGTAGGCCCAAACCCTACAAGCCAGAACCTCCCAGAAGTATAATCAAGCCAGAACTTGTTCATAACTTTATTTATTTATTTATTTATTTAACGTCTGATTACTTTTTCCCCTCATTTGTTCACCAGCTCTTTCTTCTGGGATTCAAGTTCTAGTAAACCAGAAAAAAAACTGTGCTAAAGACAATTAATTTGAGGTTATTTGAAAGCTCCTATAGAAGTAGTTGTTAAATTATAACATGAAACTGGTGCTTAGGGTGGTATCCATATACAGAAGGGAAGGTAGTAAGAGACAAATCACGGGAGATCGTGAAATATAGTATGACTTTGAGCACTATGATAAACAGACTTTTCAGTCTTGCTCAGTACAAATACCTGTGGTAGTAAATCTACCAGACACTGCTATGCTATAAGGAAGAAAAGAAGCTTCTTCAGTCTGGCAAGGCCATAAGTAAGAGAAGCTGGTAATAACCTGCACATACCTAGAAGGCATTAGGGTCTAAAATGTAGGCAAAGCCATTGGTGTGAATCATCTAACACAAAGCAATAAAATGAAATTGAGAGAGTTTATCAGGAAAATGTCTGATTGATGAGATGTTAATAAGCTGTAAACACACTACCATGGGGATGTGAGGATTGGCCCATGAGCTGCAATTATGAAAACTGCACTGCCTGACACATTAGAAAATGTTATCAGTTGCATATGAGCAGAGAAACGAAGAGAAAGCTTTTATGAGAATCCACATCTCCAGAATCTCAAATGCTAAGTTACGCAATATGAAGCTGTCACATTGAAATAAAAAACTTTGTAAAAGTTGCCACTGATTTCAGTCAAAGTAGATCAAGACCTTAGTGCTCATATAGACCATGTTTGTCATAGTCAAATGTCTAGAAACAAAGGTGGCAATGCACAAGGAGTGGCTGTACCAGTGAAAGGGCTATGGGAGAAGAGGTAGTCAGTACACTTTTAGCTGTGTATGGAGGAACTATCATGTGCTAGCTGGATATCTGTTTTACCTTATAGGATGAGTTAATGACTTATAATGGGGGGGTTTATATTGTTCCATCCACGATAACATTGTAGATTTATATTGTGGTGGTTTGTTTTGTTGAGATTTTTGTTTGTTTGTTTGTTTTTTAATCTAAAAGATTTCTGTGTTCTATATCTGAAAATGTAGTATGTGTAAGTTTAATTTGATTTTCCTTGTTTGTCAATTATTTTTTCCTTCTCTCTCAGATATCTCACTTACGAGGGCCTCAAGCATGCACGGAGCCCATCTTGTTCTTGCCCAGATTGTTGCCCTTCTGATGAGAAGGTTTCACCACACTAGGCGAGACTGGAGAGGAAGCCTGTCCAATGTGCTGCTACCTGTCCTCTTTGTTGCACTGGCAATGGCCTTATTTAGCGTGAAGCCTCTGGCTGTTGATTATCCTTCTCTCAAGCTGACACCAAGACTTTATGACAATGCAGAATCCTTCTTTAGGTAAAGGGTTCATCTGCCATCATCAATATCCAGGGTTCTGGGAGCTTTACCCTTGAGTTCTCATATTTTGAAGATTTTTTTGCATAGGTTACTTTGTACAATAGCTGTTCGGTTTTCAGATGTTTAGTACCTTTTAATGGGTTATTATGAAGGAGAGATAAAATTAGGAAAGCGTTGTGCAAAGGATTTTCTGGAGGAAAAGGCAAAGACTTTGGAGCAGTTTGAACTGGGTAATCTGTTTCAATTCCAGCCATGGTCATCTATTTGCAAATGCACAAGTGTATTTAAACAAGCCTTTACATGCTTAATTTTAACTAATTGCTTCAGTCTGAAATTATTTTCTTAAAATAGTTCTCAGGTTTGAAAGTGTCACATAATATTAACAAAGTCTGGTGCCCTTCTTAGCCTCTAGTTTTTATAGGCTCAGCTTTGAAGCCAACTGGATTGATGTATTTATTTATTTTTAATGTACAGTATGTATAGTTCAGCTCTCAACTATTCTACATTAAGTGCATATCAGATACAGATCACTTTCTCTTCTGCACAAATATCCAGGTATCTTCATAAACATAAAATACTAACTGTCAGGAATGTATGTTTATACAGAGAAAGATGGCTATGGGGAGATGTTGAGATTTGTTTAGCCATAATTGTATTGAGTTTTATTTAGATGTTCACGTATAGTTTTTGAAATGAGATAATGTTGCTGTTTTGGTATTTTTCCTATGCATGGATTTTATAGTTCTTTATTTTTTTTGGTAAATATGTAGGATCTTGAGCCTGAAAGTCGATAGAACTAGACAATTTAACATGTTTGTATTTATTTTTCTTTCTTTTTCCCCATTTTTTTTCCCCCTCCTGTGGCCCACTTTGAACAGCTCTGAAGATTATAACCTCAGAAACCTTTCTCAGATTCTACTGAGATATTTCTCTGATTGGGACCACCCATGCATGCATTCAGAACAAGGGTAACTGAATAACTTAAGTACTTTCTTGCTTGTGAATTGTAAATAATGTAAATTCGATATTATTTTTCTTTGTAATACCAACTACCTTAAGCTTTCCTTGGCAACATGAGGTTAATGACAAATATGTTCTGATGAAGTACATAAGAAGGCTTCATTGTTAAAAGCGTAATCCAAATCCCTTGAAAGTCAATTAATTTCAGGAAGATTTTGATCATGTCTGGTGTTCATATGAATTAAGATTAGACAATAATTACAATATTTATTAGGAAGCATTCCAGATTTCCCAATGTAGGAATGCAGAGTTGTGACCATGCTTTACTTACCTTGTTGCTGCAAACAGAAGGCGTACAGCTCATTTGCTTCTTTATTTTTATAACTATTTTTAGTGAATCCACTTTGATACAAATGAGTAAAACTGATATAGTTTTACATACATCTGCCACTGTGATAAAATGCTAAGAAGTTGTTCAAGTTGCCAGATGTGCTCATTGCTCTGTGGATTTATTCTGTTAAATAAAATTCATTTAACAGTTGTTCTTATTGTAATGTTTATTCCCATTAGAAAAAATAGTTCATGTTGGCAGATGGAACCTGCATCACTTCAGGATTCATGTGGATGTGTGGCTGACCAAGAGGTATTTCATTTTACATTTACTGATATATGTTAAAATTATGTGTTTATATGTTACATCTAATACCTTGACTCTTCATTTTGGAAGACTAGAGAAAGGGATGAAGAAGGAAACCCTCATAGCTTTGTTATGACTGGAGATTTCCTTCTGTTTCATCTCATGTTTGAAAAAAAGGGAAAGAGCTTGCTCAGTTTTGATGTATCAGAGATGGCTGAAGTATTATCAACAGATTCAGCTTTGCTTCAAATATGTCATAGGATTTTGGTAACAAAAAAGCCCCAAACCTAATGTAAAAAAAAGGTTAAAACATAAAACTTCCAAAATATCAGGAATATGACCTGCTTTCAAAAGGGAAGAGAAGGTGTTCCCAGATGATAAATGCTACCAGGGAATCTACATGTGTTTTACAATGAGATGTAATTGTTAGAGTTTGGTTTTGATTTGGATGATGTATTTGAAAATATAACAGTCTTTGAGGAAAGAAATTATTTCTAAAAAGATAAAGAATTTCTGATGTTTTTGACTCTCTGAGGTTGAGTAATAAACAAGAACGTGAAACTGTGTCTGAAGTGACAAATATATTTCCCTGGATGGAACCATTCTCTTTAATAAGTTCCCTCTTCATGAAGATATAAATACTCTAGAGTAAGAGCTGTATCTGAAATACAGTAATATAGTCCTGGGAAAAGTGGAAGGAGGAAACTAATTTTTTACTTTGCAGGGCAGGGGATGAATTTGCCTCTAATACTAGTGACATGTATATTTAAAATATTACAAGCTTAAATAAAATGAGAATGGGAACTTGCATAGGAAGAGGCCTCACTGACCACAAAAACTCAAAGAAAAGTTACTTGACAGTGGAGGCACAACTTCTATCTGTGAGCTATGGAAAACCAGAATCTCTGAGAATGAATTTTAAATGGTGTAGGGTTGAGATGTCAAATAAGCATTAACATTTTTCAGTTGCTATACGTAACATACTTTATAATGTTTCCAAGGTATCTGATAATATCTATCTCCTTTTCTTTGGTTGTGAGAGTATCTCACTGAATCATTGGAAAAGAAAATCTTTATTATTCTCTGCAGTCCATCAATTAGATTTTTAGGACAACATTGCATTAATTAAAATTTTGATTTCATCTCTTATTCATCTAGTGCCTTTTTAGTATTCCTTCTCAGGCACAAGAAATAAACGGTAGTCCTTGTAGTCCTAGTAGTCATTGTTGTAAACCTTTCTAAATTCCTAGTTTTCATGTTTTCAAAAAACTGACTTAAAAGGTTGCCAGAGAAATTAAATGTGATTATAATATGTAGGTGACACAATTATTTGAGATGCCTTATAAATATAAAACCATACATAATTTATGGAAAAATTATCACAGCTGACAAATGCAAATCCAGTTGAAAAGTAATGTTGTAAAATCTATGTAAAAATGCAAAAATATAGCTAAATCTTGTGCCACTGATTTTTAAGAGTGCTTTACTTATTTTATGTATACTATGTTTTAGGTGTGTCCAAGTATCAATACGTCTGCTCCCTACATGAAGAATAAGAAAGGGCATATTTTGTATAATCTTTCAGGTTTCCTTGTAGAAGAATATTTAGTAAGGCCTTCCAACAAAGCAAGGTAACCTTAACATATCTAACCGGTGTTTATTATTGTGTATAAAAAACATAGGCCTTTCTGATCTGAAGCATAGACCTGTGTCACCGAGAACATAAGTGTTAATTGCCTCTATCTGTTGGTTGTTACCAAGGTGTAGAGACAGGTGAAGGTAACATGGAGCCCCCTCCATGGTCACTTCTCAGATCTTCCTCCAGCAGTTGCTTGATAATCACCTCTAGGCATATGTTGCGTCTTCTTGCGAGACAGCAAATTATTTCAGCATCTCAGAGAAAGAAAATGTATATGCATGTGGAAATCAGATGAGCAGTATAGTTTCCATTCCTCAGAGACTCAATCAACTAGAGGTGGATATGCTCCAATTAATCTTTTCTTTTAACTTAAAGGACTGGTATCCCCCTGTAAAGACTTAATATTATGTGATACCAGCCACAGAGGTTATAATCTGCTGTATTTTGAGGTTTACTTACATGCTTTTAGAGCTCAACCACTGTTCTTTGACATAAGTGCAAATACTAGACCAACTGTGATTCTATGAAGAAGAAAGTGTTAGCCATTTATGCATTAAAAACAAAGTGTAATTGATCTCATAAAAATAGAGGTAAATGTCTTAGGATTAAAGATTTCAGGTGAAATATGAATGGAGTAGGAAGAAATCAAGCTGCTTAAGATGTTTCTGAAAGTCAGTACTACCTCACTTGCTCACAAACTCTCCTGTTGCTCAGGGATTTCACCTTTCAGAAAGTAAAAGTTCTTAATGGAGGGAACTCCTTTGCCAGAAAAGAGAAATAACATTTGCTTGATTCAAGATATATTAAGCTCCTCCTTTCAACTGAGAAAGCATTTGTGAGGGCTGAAGTTTCACTTTCAGTAAAAAAATAAAGCATTACTGTAGATATTACCACTTTATCATCGTTTTAAGAAAAGGCTGTTAACCTTTAAACAGATGACTTGTTACTTTTTTTCTATTACCAGATATGGAGGCTGGTCTTTTGGAGGGAGGAAAGCATCTGAACTTCAGGATAAAAAATTGAATAATGCCAAATCCAAGCCTCTGGCTAAGGTAAGATTTGCATGTGTGTATGTGCATTTGTATGTATGTGTTGCTTTCTTATTCAGGCTCCAGATGTCACAACAGTTTAGCAAACAACAAATAATTACATAAAATGCTTGCATGTAGAAACTGGGAGAAAAACCCTCTTTCTTTTGTAGTTCACTTCTGTAATTCTTGAAGTATTCTCCTGAGAAACAGTTTTAAATTAATCAAATGATATGGCTTTTGTAGGTTTTGTTTTTTGTTTTTTTTCCCCTGTGAGCTTATTTCAGAATCTAAGCTCATCTTTAAAACTTTTTTTTTTTGGGTAGTCATTCCAGATCTTCCTTCTTTTTTTTTTTTTTTTTTTTTTTCCCCCCTACAAAAAGTCAATGTCAGAATTAACAAAAGTTTCTTGAATGTCTCAAAATTGACATGGTTTTTTTTTTCATTTCTACAAGGAATACTTTGCTCCATTTCTCTCTTTCTCTTCCCTCCCTCTTCTAGACCCCCAAAAGTAAACATTTAACTTCTAGGAGTAGCTACTCCTGCATAACAAATATGCCAACCTGTGTTTATAATCCCCTTTTCAAATATGAGGAACTTTCAATTTTTATCCTAGAGAAATAGCATTGTGTCTTGCTGAAATTAGTTAGGTTGTGAAATCTGAATGCCTTCTTGACAGTAGATCCTACTGTCTGGCAATGCTACACAGAGCCAGGGTTTTGTGTCTGGAGCCACCTCTATAGTCAGGAAAAGGATTATTCTAAGCACAATTGAAATAAAGAGCTTTTATAAAAGAAGGAAGAGTGTAAATAAGCTCTATCCCAAAATCCATTTTGGGACAAAGTGTTAAAAAAACATACAGATATTCTCCATGCAATATAATTTCTTGTTTAGTTTTTGCAAAATAATTTTCTGTTTGCAATGTGATTTTAATGTAGTTTTCTTAAGAATCTCTCTATTTTATGTACATAGCCTACCTTGTATATATTTCAGTATTGGTCATTTATGAACTCCCTTCTACCCTCAGACTTCTTATAGTTTGGAACTGCATTTCTGTCAATCCTTCATTAGAGACTTGAACTCCTAGAGGATTGCAGTAAGATGTGTTTTTCTGACTGCTTTTTTGTCCTATGTATCTTTAATCATTTTAGACTTGTTGTGACATGCCTGCACTGTGGATTTTGTCAGAGTCCCTTTTTAAAAATGTGTTTGGCATAGAACTCCACCTGCCATCAGCAGAGGTATAAATTATAGTTATACTGTTAGTGAGTAAGCTTCATATTTCAGACTCAAAGAAAACAGTGGAGTAGATTTATAAAGGGCACTGTGTTATCTAAAATACCTCCTGGAAGTGGCTTTCAACTGATGCAATGTCAAATTATTGCATTAACCTTTCAGTAATTAATGACCAGACTTTGACTTTGACCTTTCAGGCTTGTTCAGGAGTCAGTGAATGTACATAGCTTTGTATGAAGGAAAATTAGACATTTGCATTTGAAGAGATTTACTGAATGATTCATTTATTTTTTTTTTTTAATTTCTGAATCTTTGTACACTATTCTTCCCCACTCAAAAAGACAACAATTTTTCCAGTGCAAATTAAAAATGGCTATTCAAAACCTCTTCTACTTTACCTAATGACACCATGCTGTATATACTACATACATGGTATTTACATGCAGACAGAGAATATGAATGCATGCACGAGTGAGAATGTATCTACCATGTGATAAATGTGACTGATTATAAACATTGATTATTGTCATTCATTTATGATCACTGCTGTATGTCAGAAGGTCAACTCCTCCTCAGTTGTTTTTTTTTGTTTTGTTTTGTTTTCATTTTATTTCCTTCCATAATGTGGCCAAAAAGTGTTCCATAAAGGTTTTGTAGTTGCTGTTGTTTATAACATATTTGAATATAAGAAGCACGTGGTAATTTGAAATAGTCCTGAAAGGCAATTTGTACTGCTTACATGGCATTATGCAGCGTGCATTTTTTCCAATCTCAAAGGCTGGGATTTGAGCCTTTACTCCACAGTAACAGTGTAAGTAAGTGCCCAGAGGACGTTACATCTCTCCAGTCTAATGTCCCTTCTCTCTGCTTGCCCATCGTGAATCTGGTCCAACAATGCTTAGGGATTTCTCTGCCTCCCTCCTCACCCTTTTTTCTTGATAGGCCATAGGTTAGTGAAAACATCAGTCTAGCATTATTCTGGAATATTAATGGCAGGTAAAATGGTATGGAATAATGGAAAACACATCTTTCCAGAACTTAAATCTAATGTGGTGAGGGGCTGTGTTTTTCCTTGGGAAGGAATTTTGTCAACCATGGATAGAAGATAAAATAATGACAATTAAAATTAATAAGCTTGAGGTATATATTTTTTCCATTGCTCATCTCTTTTCTGCCCTCTGTAAATAATTACCTATGTGGTACAAGAAAAGTGAAAGATATTTCAGCTGCAGCTAATATTTTTCCTTTTTTGTACTTTGCCTTATTATTTAGACTAAGCCACATGACTAGAAAAAAAGCATAAATGTATCTTCTGATGAAGTTAATAAAGTCAAATGTCTGTTTTGCCAGATTATAAACAATTAAATATCCGGCTTCAAATTTATTGTTTTCTGGTGCTTTGATTCAGTTACATACTGTAGCTAGAAGGAAGAATTCTAATTAGTGTGAGATATTGAAATGTATTGTTACACACAATATGTTTTTGTGGTTTTTGTATTTTCATTTACAGATTGGTCACATTATTTTATTTCTAAGCTGTTCTGTGAATACTGAAGACTTTTCCCCTGCCTCAATTAAATGAGGATGTGTTATCAGAATTTTGCTTTATGGTTTTCTTAATTGCCTTTTTTCCCCCAATACAATAAACACAATTGCAATGGAGTTTATGTATGTATAATTTTCTATTTGGCTCAAATATTTTTTAAAAAGATATAAGAAATGGGGCAGGGGGAAGGGGTGGTGTGTGTGTGAAAAAGACTGGTTGCCCTTGATCACTTGTTTATATTTCTTTGCTCTGGTTACTATTTGCACAGGAGATCCAGTTGTGCAAAGATTTGCAGTTTTCATCAAGTCATTTCCCCCCCC